GGGGGGGGGGCCGACCTACTCGATCTTGGCCTGACCGATCCGGATGTCAACATTGCTGTTGAGGTTTGTTAGTCTGAGTGGCCAAATTTGCAGAGGGTAAGGTTGAATTTTTAGAAATCACAGATGCTGCTTCAAGTCTACTCTCATAAGTGAGCAAAAGAGACATGACATCCACCATTGTGAGGTTCTCTGATCTTGCATTGATGCTTACAACAACTGCATCATACTCAGAACTCAGGCCACTCAAAATATGCATGATCTTATGCTGCTCTGAGATAAGATGGCCTCCAGCAGCTAGTGTGTCACAGCAAACCTTAACCTTGTTCACATACTCCCTTATGCTGAGACTGCCCTTTTTGAGATTTTGAAGCTGGATCCTGTAATGCATGGTTCTTGCTTTGGATCTGGTAGAAAAAGATGCTTCAAGAGCTTTCCAGATATCATGAGAGCTGTCCAAACCTATCACCGAGATTAGGATGGACTCTGAGAGTGAGGAGAGCAGCCATGAGGCCAACAGTTAGTCCTGCCTCTGCCAGCTCACATAGTCTGGGTTGATTTGCAGCAAACCCTCCTCTTGTCCTGGGATGAATCTGGTGGGTTGAACAGCTGTGCCATCGAGATAGCCCTCTAATCCATATCCTCTTGCTGTGGTGACAACTTGTTGTCTCCAAAGCAGGTGGTTTTCATCAGAGAGCTTGATAGTGAGTAATTGGTTGTGGAGGGGAACAGGCTGGGATGAAGGTGTGGTCATATTGCTTCTAGAGGTAAAAGAAGTTTCAGCCGTGGATCGAGCTGCAGGAGAAGATGGAGATCATCCCTGCTCTGATACCAAGTTGGAAACAAACATCACCATAGTTGATTGAAAAACAAGAAATCTCAAGAACACTTTGAAAACAAGAGCAGCTGTGAATATTATGTAATCAATGGATAAAAAGTGGCTGTTACATCAAGGCTTTATATAGCCTGTTAAGAAAGACCTAGAATCATAAAGGATAAGAGCTATAATGATGAGGTGTCCCTAAATGACAAAGAGCCAAAGAGCTCTAACAAACTGCACAAGAAGCCAAGGAAACGGCTAGTGCATGTTGTACTAGAAAGAGAAAAGAAGCAAGTGCATGGAGTGTGCATGTGAGGGAAAAATGAAAAGTAATGAGGGAGATTAATACACTAAACAAGACTTAGGTTAATCTAAATGAATATCTAACATATATATATATATATATATAAAAACCTTTTTGGTTCAATGGCATCTGAGTCATAATATCCCTTGAAATGTCTGAAGATTCCCCAAAGAATTGGCAGATTTCCGCGTACAGGCTGAGACAAGAACAATAAAATAAACTATATATTAAAAAAATTCTAAAATAATAATAAAAAAAAAAGAAGAAGAAAGAAACTAAAAACAACTGACATGAATAGACGAGACATGCAAAGATCTTTTGACTGGATCGTCTCTGACCAAATCTTTTGAGCGGAGACCTGACGAGAGCAGTGCGAGCGCCTCAGATTGTAGCAGCGGCGGCGGCAGCGGAGATGGATCAGTGGGGTCGTCTACGATCAAGTTGTCAGACCAAATCATTGGATATAGCATGTTAGAATATCAACACCTCCTTTTAGGAAGGTCCCAAATGCTTGTAGAAATTTTTGGAAGCTTAGAGAATGTTCGGGAACATTGTGGGAGGCTCCGGAACATCTAGAAAGACCTGGAATAATAGAAAACGTCCCGGAATATTGTAGAAGGATCTAGAAGCGTGAAGAAGAACGTGGAAGCACATAGTGGTTTCTAGACAACAATAGAGACTACATGAATGTTGTAGAATATTGTAGTAACTAGACTTATATATATAAGTCTAGTTACTACAATATTCTACAACATTCATGTAGTCTCTATTGTTGTCTAGAAACCTCTATGGATGTTTAGTAAGTGTTAGTATAATCCCGAAGGGGCAAAAGTCTTAGGGAAGCTTCATGAGTCTAGGTAGTTCTAGAGTATTCTTTAGGAGTGGAGGTGTCTATAAATAGAGGTCACCTCATTTGCAACCCATCCAAATATCATCCAAACATCCAAGAATCTAAGTAAAAGAGTGTATGAGTGGCATAGTTAGGGTATTTGGTCTTATCAGTTAAGTAATGTATGTTTATCTATTAAAGTAATTACGTTAGTGTTCACGTGAGTGTACCCAACCCAACATAGCACGTCCTCCACCATAGTGTCTCAAGAAAGCACCGACCATTTCTTGAAAGACGAAAGGAAAAAAAATGAATAATAAGAAATGAAAATAAAAAAATTAATAATTGAAAATGAAATAACAAAAACACATACCGACTTTGATGTGATACTTTGAATCGATAGACTTTGCACGTCACTGAGACAATAGCCATAAATTTCCGCACAGATAAATTTTGGAAGTACAATTTCCTTTTCTTCGTGCATTACTACTATTTTCGTATCTTTTTGCAATTTTTTTTTTTGTGTTTTGCTTATTTTTTTGGTAATTTTTGATTTAAAAATGGCTTATTATAAACTGTCTGAGAGGACCGTTAAAACTATCAATGTCTCAAGCCTCGAGGACCAAATTGATCAAGTCATCACCGCCATCAATTTAAATTAATATTAATATGTTGTATTTAATTAATTAATAATCATACATAAACTTAAACCTAATACTATATAATTATATCTTTATTATATATATATATATATATATATATATAGTATCAAAATCAAATTAAAGATTTTATATATTACTTATAAAAAAATCAAATAAAAATTAAAAAATCTACTAAGTTTAAAACATTATCAATACAGAATAAGGAAAACGAAAATACAAAAAGAAAAAAAAAAAGTGGAGGAAACGGGGTAAAATAATAATGATGATTAAATATTTAATAGAATTGACGTATATTAGTTTATTGAAAATGTTATATAAAATTTATGTTTGACAAAATTAAATAAAAATGTCTATTTAAAATTAGTAAACAACCGGTGCCAATTTGAGTGGATTGCACGATTTGTGCAAACATCAATGTGTGTTCATTTGAGACCTATGTTGCTAATTCTGCTGCAGGAAAAATTGCACTATTCCTCCACTAACTATACCATCGTTGCACTTTCGTCCTTTAATTGTTTCCGGTTTACAATTGGCACACTAATTTTTTTTTTAATTTTAGTCCAAAATGACATTCCGGTGCTCATTTTCGCCGGAATAGCTGATGTGGCGTCCAGTCAGGTCGGAATTCCATTCTCGGCGTGATGTGGCACGAGCTGGCGCCTTGTCAGATCGGAAAATTGCACTATTCGTTCACTAACTTTACATTCGTTGCACTTTCGTCCTTTAATTGTTTCCGATTTACAAAATCAGAAGAAAAAAATATTAAAAAAAAAGCAAAATCTTTAAAAAGAAAAAGAAAAGACATGTGGATAAAAAATTAACAAAAGAAAAAAAAAGAATATAAATTAATAAAAAATCATTTTGCTTAATGATTTTAAACAAAATAAAAAATATCTTTTTTTGAAATAAAAATACATTTTCTATTTAATTAAAAATGAAATAATTAATAAAAAACGAAATGAAAAACAAAATAAATTTTTAATGAGAAATAAATATTTTTTATTCAATGGTTAAATATTTAATAAAAAAGAAATATTTATCATTTTTTTTTGTTTAATGAAAAAATATTTTTTATTAAAATTAACAAAATAAATTAATAAAAAAGAAATATAAAACGAAATAAATATTTTCATGAGTAATAAAATATTTCATAAACATTTTTTTTATTAATGGTTAAATATTTAATGAAAAATTAAATATTTAATAAAAAAAATATTTTTTCATTTTTTGTTAAATATTTCGTTTTTGTATTTAATACTTAATCATTAAATAAAAAATATTTATCACTATTTATAAATTTATTTTGTTTTTATTTAATCATTAAATATTTCATTTTTTATTAAATTAAAAAATTATATTTTTTTTTTCTTTTTAAAGCTTTTTATTTTTCGTTTGATTTTTTTTAATATTTTTTCTGATTTTGTAAACCAGAAACAATTGAAGGACGAAAGTGCAACGAATGTAAAGTTAGTGGACGAATAGTGCAATTTTTCCGATCTGACTAGGCGTCACCTCGTGCCACATCACGCCGAGAATGGAAATTCAGATCTGACTGGGCGCCACATCAGCTATTCCGGCGAAAATGAGCAACGGAACGTAATTTTGGACTAAAATTACCAAAGAAGTTAGTGTACCAATTGTAAACCGGAAAGAATTAAAGGACGAAAGTACAACGATGGTATAATTAGTGGACGAATAATGCAATTTTTCCTTCTCCTGGATAAGGGTTAATTAGTTCTCTAATATTGGGCAAGTATCCTCATGCTAATTAATGATCCAAGAACACATGACTAGGGACACAAATGAATATCTAATCTAGCAGTGTAAAAAGAGTTCTCTATAAAAGCTTTGAAAGATCAAAACAGAACAAGAAACATTGAGTTCCAAGAACAGTTCCCAACTCTAACGCATATATCACACCCATCATAAAAAGAATAGAGGACCTTAACCGGACACGGCCTGAGTGGTGTCGTGCTCCGATCTTCGAAATCATACACATACAAATTCCGATCGTCCCAATAATAATATATCGAGTTCCTTCTAACCCCCGATGAGGACCCGTCCGCAAAACATGTCGTGCTCCCGTTCTTCCCTAAGAAAAGGGCACGGTTCCCTATGCTCATCAGCTCCTCCACATACTCCTTATTCTCATTCCCCATAATTATGCGGGAAACCTTGAAATACGCCACGTTTTCGAACAAGTCCCTGTACCTCTGCACGACCGCCCGAACTACAAGCATCTCCCCATCATCCACGACTCGACTATAAAGTCCTTGGTTGCACTCGGCTTCACGGGCCACGTGTAGAGCTCCTCCGTCGCCACACGCACCATCAAGACAAACTCAAGCATCCAATCACCACGAAACACTAACTCGAACAAACTCTTTCCCATCAACAAATAGGTTTTCCTGCCAAAACTAGCAGTCGTCGACACGGTTTCATTATTGTAACTCTCTGCCTCAATGAAGTAATCGTCACCCTATGGCTGGGTGACCGACCTAACCTTCTCTTCGGGGCCATCTGGTCCGACCTATTTACCCCTACCATCTCTATTTTCCTATGGCGCCTCCTTTTGCGCCGCCTACCGATTGACACTGTGATGCAAACGACGGGGTTCTCCTTCTTCTCGCGTTTCTACTGTTGCGTTGAGACTGACGATTTTCAGATGGAGACCTTCACCCATTTGTTCTTAGAGAGCGAGATTGTGAGGAGAGTGTGGGAGCATTATACCAGTTATACTCATATCCCCTTACCCTCCACAGATACTTTCTTTGAGCTTCTGAGTTTTTTCAGACACCGCACACATATTAGACACGTGGGCTTCCTTATTCCTTGTCTGATCCTTTGGGCCACATGGGCAGAAAGAAATAATGTGAAGCATAGGGATAACACGTTTTTGTGTTCCCATATTATTTTGCAGGTTGACCGACATCTCTTCCTCCTCACCGCTTTGGGCAGACTCACCCAGAGAGACTGGGCAGTGGGCATGCTGCACGCCACCTCACCGCCTTACACTACCCCTGCTGACGCATGTCCAGCATCCATACCCGAGAGCTGTTGTTTGGCTGAAACTCGAGCCACCTTGGGTTAAGCTAAACACTGATGGAGCCTTTGACCAACTTACTGAAGTTGCAGGAGGTGGGGGCCTGATTAGGGACCATAGCGGCACCCTTATTACCGCCTTTCTTGCCCCTCTTCGGGCCTCTTCGAGCTATGATGCAGAGGTTTAGACGCTTTAGATCGGTCTTCAGATTGCTGCCTCGATATCCTCTCACATTTGAATAGAATTGGACGCTGCCGTTGTCATCACTCTCTTGTCATCTGGCCATCAGGACACGTGGCAGATTCAACATCATCTCATGCGTATTAAAGCCACTCTTAAGTCGATTCACTTCCGGATCTCGCACATATTCCGTGAGGGGAACCGGCCTGCTAACTTCCTCGCTGGCATAAGATCATCCACCCCCCAGAGACGCATGCTTTACCCTGACGACATTCGTCTCTGCCTCCACACCCTCATACGAATGGACCAGATGGGATACCCTTCATTCAGATTTGTGTAACCGGTCATACCTTTTGGCGCATATGCCTCACTATGATGTTGACTTTTTCGTCGGGACTCTTCCCGGACCAGGATCTACTACTTTTGTATTTCTCGCTGCAGTTGTCAGCTTCCTTGTATTTTATCGCTTTTGCTTTTGGTTTTTCGTTTGACTTCATGTATATAAGACATTGGACATGTAGCTTTGTGACTTTTTAGCCTGTTTAGGGCTTTTTTTTATTATATATATACAGGTTGGGAGTACCCCCAACCCTCTTGAGGTGTTGTTTGTTTAAAGAAAAATAATTGTCACCCAACCGGCAGTAATAGAGGTTGTTATTCTTACCGGTCAGGAGGATGATGAGGTGGTAGTCGGGTTCGGTCGGGGGCCCGCACAGGACGCATTCAAAAAACGTGTTGTAGTTGAATATCCACTTGTGCGGGATACGAATTGTTTGGCCAAAGGTTATGTTTAGGAGACAACAACCGCAATCCTGGATGGAATGTCGGGGATCATTGTGTAAGTCGATGAGGATGGGCCTATTACCGTATGAGGTGAAGAACACTAGCTTCGAGACTACCTCTGGTATGTTTAAGTCAACGTGTTGGTTTTTGAGTACGTTGTAGAGTGCGTGGTTTTTGAGGTTTTTGCCATGAGATACGAGCAGCCGAGGATGACCCGTCTGATCAACATCATTGGGATTGAGCAGAAAACGACATTCCATCAATGCTGCTGATACTCTGCTAATTGATACTCTGCTAAATGAAGTTGTTTTCTTACTAATTTCACCCATTATATTGCTATTCAATCCAAAATAATTTGATTAATTAACAACCATAGATAACATGTAGATTAATTTTGTGTAGATAATCTAGGTAGAAACTACTAATGGAATAATTCCTTCAACGGGACTGTAGTCATCCCTCTATATATAGGCAAAACGAAAGGTAAGTCCTAACCTAATTAGTCCTAAGTCCTAACCTGATAGTTGTTGCACCAATCATAATGTGCCACATCATGTTGTGACACCATAATATAATGTCTCATGTGGTGCCATAGAATTTCTTTACGTATATGGCCAAAGCTAAAGATCTAGTTAGGACACTCATCACATTGTAATCTTTTGCAATTTTTTGAATATATTTTGTACCTTAAAAAAAAAAAATTAGAATAGCACCATCCCGTTTAATATGTCAGTATCCACATATAATATAATATATATTCTTACAATACATGAATAGCTCATATAATTCAATGACTAGGAAAGAAATACATATATAATACATGTTACTTACTCATTAGTGTGCACATATTAATATGTCCACCGCTTAATGCTTTTTCTTTCCACATTCCTAACATAATACCGTGAATTCTAGATTTTTATTCGGAAAAAAAGGTTTTTTTGTCCTTTATCTGCAGGTCGTTTTCAATTTGGTCCCGTAAATGGACCGTTTTTGAAAATAGTAATGTTGGACTTATTGGATCCTTAGCAATTCAAGCAGGAGTGGGCCCTTGGGGATCTCTGACCACCTACAACATGTCAGATTTATCGGCGCTCAATTTTTTTTTTTTGCTGGGTTGTATGCTTAGGTGGCGATTATGTGGCATAATTGTAAAAAATATGCTAAAGAGAGGATTCAAACCCAAATCCAATGAGGGAGTAAAAGAGCTCATGGACCACTTGAGCTAGCACACTTTTTGTTAACTATTTAACTTCAATTATATATATCTGTCAACATCGTTTTATCTAATTTATACTATTCAATTTGTACTACTTTTATATTTTAATTTTTTTATATATTAAATAAATAGTATTTAATTATTTTCTAAATAAATATTTTAACGTATTTAATTAAATTAATTTTAATATAAAATAAATATTTATCAAAAAAATGAATAGAATAAATAATATAATAAATAATAAAATTTACCAAATAAATAAATATATTAAACAATATAATAAATAATATTACTTACTAAAAGAATAAATACATTAAATAATATAATGTATACTATTTATCAAATAAATACATAAACTAAATAGTATAATAAATAAATAATTATTTACTAAATAAATATGTAAATTAAATATTATAGTAAATACATATTATAAATAATATAATAATTAATATGATTAAATTATTTCTATATGAAAAATATATACTAAATAATAAAATATATTGAATAATGTAATAAGTAATATAATTAATTTTTATTTGTGTATTAAATATATATTGATCAAATAAATAAATATACTAAATAATATAAGAAATAAACAAATATTTACTAAATATATACATCTATCAAATATTAAATAAATGTATTAAATAATATAATAAATAAATATACCAAATAATATAATAAGTAATAATATTTAACAAAAACATATATTAAATAATATAATAAATAAATAAATATTTAGTAAAATACATATATTAAATAACCTAATAAATAATATAATATCAATTACGAACTAGAAATAATTAAAATTAATACATAAAAAATATTTTATATTATTTTATTTTTTGTTTATATGCTTTATTTAATTATACTTTTTCTAATTTCTATTATTTACTAAATTTATTATTTATTTTATTATTTATTATTGTAATAAGTAAATATTATTATATTATTTAATATTAGTTTATTTAATATTATTTAATAATTTATTTATTATATTTACTTATTAGTAAATATTTATTTAATATATTAAAAAAATTAAATGAATTTAATAATGTATATTAGTATAAAAATAATAATGATAATAAACATTTGATTAAACAATATAACTAAATAATATTCATTCATTTATTTAGATATATATATGTAACAACAAATTTTATGAAAAACATAAAGTTTCATGTACAACTTGAATATATTTTGATCAAACGATATGCGGGTTACAATCTCTATTATTCCTCCGATTCTTCTCTTCATGAATTTGAGTTTGAGATCTTGAAAGATGGATTTGACGGTTGAATCTCCTTCGGGCTTGGTCTTGAATTTCTCTAACATTAATTTGGGGGTTGAATGACTTATTCCCGTATTAAATGTTAGGCTTTGACTTGATTGAAGAAGCCTTCTTTGAGGACTTGATTCTTTGATCTTCTTGAAAGATGGACTTTGACTTGAATAACGTTGACTTGAGGGCTTGATAGCTTTTTCCTGGATCAAACGCTATGTTGGTGGTACTTCTCAACGAACGCGGCTTGAATGTTGCTTGAATGTCGTTGATGTTCTTGAATGATTTGAGAGGAATGGATATCGCCTCTTTGTTTATTGGAGGACCGCCATCTCTTTTTCTTCTTCTTGGCCTTCTTCATAATTGAATGGACTTCGGACAATTCTTCAAGATCTTCTTCAAATCTTCAAGATCTCTTGAACTTGAGGCTTTAATCTTTGAGATATGTTTGATATTTTGATGTATTTGAGGTGTTTGAGGTGTGTTTTGTAGGATTGAGGAGAGCCCTATTTATAGGTGTAGGAGAGAGAGTCTTGGAAAAGAAGACATCAATTTGATTGGTCCTTCTTGATTTGATATAATCTCTTTCCTTCTCTTAAGATTTGATATAATCTTTTCCTTATCCTAAGATTTGACTTGGTGGGCAAGAAACAATTACTTTATTAATTAAATATCTTATTTATCTTGGATTTATGTCCCAAAAATAAATAATGTCATTAGTTAATAAAATATTAAAATTTCGATGTCTACAATATATAAACAATGTAATTAAATAATATTTATTCATTAATGATAATAAAATTTGTATTAATCAATGTAATTAAATAACATTTGAATAATGTATATATATTATTAGATAAAACGATATTGGTAGATATAAAATTGAAGTTAAATAACAAATATTATGGGTGTTAGCTCAAGTGGTTTAAGTGCTCTTTTACTCCCAAATTGGATCAGGGTTCAATCCCCCTCCTTGTATTTTTTTGCAATTATGCCACATACTCC